ACGCTGTCCTGGGTGGGGGAGACGCATGCGAACACCCCCACTTGGGCCTTCGGTGGAGCTCCCTATGGGGCCACGAAACGCTGTCCTGGGTGGGGGAGACGCATGCGAACACCCCCAGTGGGACCTTCGGTGGAGCTCCCTATGGGGCCACGAAACGCTGTCCTGGGTGGGGGAGACGCATGCGAACACCCCTACTGGGACCTTCGGTGGAGCTCCCTATGTATGGGGCCACGAAACGCTGTCCTGCGTGGGGGAGACGCATGCGAACACCCCTATTGGGACCTTCAGTGGAGCTCCCTATGGGGCCACGAAACGCTGTCCTGGGTGGGGGAGACGCATGCGAACGCCCCCAGTGGGACCTTCGGTGGAGCTCCCTATGGGGCCACGAAACGTGTGAGGGGTGTGACGACATGGGCGGTGGGGACGATGATGAAGACGATGATGAGGATGAGGATGTGGATGAGGATGATGCTGCAGATGATCATTCTGACGGAAGAGAGAAGAGGAGGGGGAGGAGGGAGGAGGGGGAGGAGGAAGGAGGAGAGGAACGCGGGGCACCGTCTCTTCAAAACGAGGACCCAACACCACAGGATGGTTGGGAAAAATCCTGTTGAGAGCCTCTACAGAAGGATTCCGTTTGAAACCCTCCACGAAAGGACTTACGAAAAAAAACCTTCAGAAAACCTTCCTCGCGAAAAATCCGGAGCCCCGCAACGTTCCAAAACAAACCTTTCAACAAAAACACCAAAAAAAAACATCCTCACGAAGAGCCCAGGATTTCTGGAACTTCCAAATAACCGTCCAAAGTCCTCCTCACGAAGAACCCAAAACCCCTGGAACCTTCAAGCCCTCACAAAAACCACCCTCACGAAGAATCCAGGAATCTTGAAACCTTCAAAAAAAACCTTCTAAAGAAAACTTACTCACGAAGAACCCAAGATTCCTGGAACCGCCCAAAGAATTCCTTCTTTTAACAAAACCACCTTCCGATAACCCTCCTCGCGAAGAATCCCGGATTCCTGGAACCTTCCAAACAACCTTCCAAAAAACCCTCTTCACGAAGAGCCCAAGATTCCCAGAACCTTATACAAATAACCTTCCAAAACCCCCCCTCACGAAGAATCAAGTCAGGATTCCTGGGGCCTTCCAAAGAATTGTACAAAAACCACCCTCACGAATAATCCAAGATTCCTGGAACTTTCCACAACACCGTCCAAAAACCCTCCTCACGAATAATCGAATATCCCTTGAATATTCCAACAAATTGTAGATTATGTTATGTATAATATAGATAAGCTTCCCCAAAAAACCCTCACGGATAATGCAAGATTCCTGGAACCTTCCAGATCACCTTCCAACTACCCCCATCACGAAGAATCCACGATTCCCGGAACCTTCTACAAAAAATATCGTCCAACAAAAACTCCTCACGAAGAATCGAGGGTTCCTGGAACCTTCCAAAACATATACAAAAACCCTCCTCACGAAGAACCCAGGATTCCTGGAACTTTCCGCAAGACCGTCCAAGAACCCTCCTCAAGAAGAATCAAAGATTCCTGAGACCTTCCCCCAAAAAACTTTCCAGAACCGCCACTCACGAATAATCCAAGATTCCTGGAACCTTCAAAAAAACAATCCAAACAACCTCCTCGCGAAGAATGAAGGATTCCTTGAACCTTCGCCCCCCCCCCACACACAAAAAAAAAACCTTCCAAACACCATCCTCGCGAAGAACCCAGGATTCCTGGATCCTTCCAACAAACCTTCCAGGCAGAAAAACCTCCTCACAAAGATTCCAGGATTGCTGTAACTTTCCAAGCAAAGAACCACATATTCCTGGAACCTTCAAAAACAAACAAAACCCCTCCTCACGAGAAATCCAGGATGCCTGGATTCTTCCAAACAACTTCCCACAAACCCTTCCCGCGAAGAACCCAGGATTCCAGAAATCTTCAAACAAAACCTTCCAATAACCTTCCTCGCGACGAATCTAAGATTCCTGGAACCGTTGAAATAACCTTCCAAAAAGGATTCCGATTGAGAGTCTCTACAACATAATTCCTAGTGAGAGCCTCTACAAAAAGATTCCGGTTGAAAGCCTCTACAGAAGTACTCATATTTAAAGCGTTTACACGCGAATTCCGATTCAGAGCGTCTACAAAAGGATTCCTACTGAAACCCCTTCACACAAGGATTTTGACTGAAAGCCTAGACAAAAGGATTCCTTTTGAGAGCCTCTACAAAGGGATTTCGATTGAAAGCCTCTACACAAGGATTCCGATTGAAAGCCTCTACGCAAGGATTCCGATCGAAATGTTCTTAAACAAGGATCCAGATTGAAACCCTGTAAGAATTCGAATTGGAAGCCAACGCAAAAGGATTCTCAATGAGAGCCTTTACTGAAGGAATCCTCTTGAGAGCCTCTACACAAGGATTCCTATGGAGAGCCTCTACAAAAGGATTCCGGCTGAAAGCCTCTACACGAGGATTAAGATTGAAAGCATTTATACAAGGATTATGACTGAAAGCCTCTACAAAAGGATTTGTAATTAGAGCCTTTACAAACGAATCCCTATTGAAAGCCTCTACAAAATGATTCCTAGCGAAAACCTCTACACAAGGATTCCTATTGAAAGCCTCTACACAAGGATTCCGATGGAGAGCCTCTACAAAAGGATTCCGATTGAAAGCCTCTACACAAGGATTATGATTGAAAGCCTCTACACAGGGAGTCCTAGCGAGAATCTCTACAACAGGATTGCGATTGAAAGCATCTACATAAGGATTCCGAACGAGAGCCTCTACAACAGAATTCCGGTCAAACTCCTCTACAAAAGAATATGGAAAGCCTCTACAACAAAAATCCGATTGGAAGCCAATGCAAAAGGATTCCTATTGAGAGCCTCTACACAAGGATTTCCATTGAAAGCCCATGCAAAAGGATTCCTATTGAAAGCTAGTGCAAAAGGATTCCTAGTGAGGGCCTGTACAACAGGATTTCTATTGAGAGCCTCCACGAAAGGATTCCTATTGAGAGCCTCTGCAAAAAGATTCCTAGTGAGAGCCTCTACAAAAGGGACTACCTGGCTAAACACCCGAGTACTGGGCGGGAGGCAAGGAGGGGAGTGGGGAGGAGGCGGGGGAGCAGCAGCAGGAAGTATAAATTGGGGAGGAGGAGGAGGAGGAGGAGGTGGAGGAGGAGGAGGAGGAGGAGGAGGAGGAGGAGGAGGATCAGGACGAGGACGAGGACTACGGCGACGACGCCGAGGACGAGGGAGAGAGGGAGATGGGGGGAGAGGTCTCGAGGACAACGAAGACGAGGGAGAGCGAGGAGGGGGCCTGGACCACCCGCCCGCCCTCCCTCTCCAGCTCCGTCCTCCCGTCGGGTCGCTCCGGGTCGACGCGCTCGCCCGCCCGAGCCCGGCCTCGCGCTCTCGGCGTGCTGGTGGGCACTCGCTGCCGCCTCCGCGCACGCTGCCTTCGGCGTGGCGGCGCCACGCAGCGCACGGCAAGCGCCCTGCATCTCCCGCGCTGGGGGGCGAAGCGCTGGCCGATCCGTCCAACCATCCGTCCACCCTCCGCCCTTTCCGCTCCTCTGGCCGTCTCTCCCCCCTCTCTTATCTTCCCACCCACCTGTTCCATCATGCCCTCCCCACCCCTCGGCCCGAGCATCCCCCCCCCCCTTGACTCCCTCTCTTTTCTTTCCCCCTCCCCCTCATCCTCCCTTCGTCTTCCCTCTCCCCCCCATCCCATCCTGGAAGACTTGGAAGGCATTGAGGCTGTGGTGAGAATTCGAATAAGCTAGGAGCATCATAGGTTAGTTATCCGTTCCATCCCATACTGCGCCTTCCCTGAGAGATCCCATGCTAGCCGAAAGTTGCCAGGTCTCTGCCGAAGACTCGAAGATGCTGGGCCAAGCTCCGACGCAACCAGCATGAGGCTTGCCTTTTCTCCGTTGTCCAGCCACGGCGCTCTTGAGGGGCGCGGGAAGGGGGCGTACTGGCACCCTGCTACCGCGGGACAGGGCGATTCATCTCATCCCACTTCATCTCATTCCATCCCATACCATATCATCTCATGCCATATCATTTCAGATCAGAGCATCTCAAACGAATGCTTAAACTCCATCCTTGCGGCTCCAAGAGGGGGCCATACGACGGGGCCATACGACGCTGAATGTCTAACCTTGCCCGCCAGCCGAGTCGATCCGATCCCCGATCTCCCTCAGGACTTCTGAGGAGGGACCTTGGGGCGGGAGCGTGTTTTGCAGCATTGCTGGTGTATTGTGGGCTTCCTATGATCCTCCTCCTCCTCCTCCTCCTCCTCTTCCTCCTGCTCCTCTTCCTCCTCCTCCTCCTCCTCCTCCTCATCCTCCTCCTTCTCCTCCTCCTCATCCTCCTCCTTCTCATCATCCGCATCTCCCAGCCTCTCCTTCCTGCTCTTCCCCCCTCCACCACCACCTCCTGAACATCGTCCCCCTCCCTGTCCTCGTCATCATCTCTTTCCTCCTCCTCCTCATCCTCCTCCTGGCTCCTCCTCATCCTCCTGACTCCTCCTCTTCCTCCTCCTCTTGCTCCTTCTCTTCCTCCTCCACCTCGTCCTCCTGCTCCGCCTCCTTCTCCTCGTCCTTTTCCTCCAAGTGCTGCTCATCCTCCTCCTCATCCGCATTCTCCCCGCCTCTCCTTCCTGCTATTCCCTTCCTCATCCACCTCCTCATCATCGTCCCCCTCCCTGTTCTCGTCATCATCTCTTTTCTTCTCCTCCTCCTCCTCCTCCTCCTCCTCCTCCTCCCAACCTGCCTCCTCCTCCTCGTCCTCCTCACTCCTCCTTCTTCTCCTTTCCCTCCTCCTCCTTCTCCTCCTCCTCTGCGCTCCATCCCTTCCTCCGACTCCTTCTCCTCCGCCTCCTCCTCCTCCGCCTCCTCCTCCTCCTCCGCCTCCTCCTCCCCTCCTCAGCCCCGGCCCTGGACTGGAGAAGAGCCCAAAGCGGTGCAGCCGAGCCTCGGCTGTAGTGCGCAGGCAGCCTCTCGCCGGTGAGCAGGAAGAGCGCCGCGTCCTTCGGCGCCGCGCGTCGGCCGGGGGGCGAAGGCGCAGGGGGGAGGGAGGATGAAGGGGAACGGTGAAGAGGAGGGAGGAGGGACGGGGAGGGAGGAGGGAGGAGAGGAGAGGAGGAACGACAAGGGAAGAGGAGGAGTGAGGAGAGGGGGGGATGGAGGAGGAAGGAGGAAGGGGCGGGGGAGAAGGAGGGAGAGGGGAGGAGGGAAGAGGAGGGAGTAGGAGGGAGGAGGAGGGAGGAGGAGGGAGAAGAAGGGAGAAGGAGGGAGGAGAAGGGAGGAAGAGGGAGGAGGAGGGAGGTGGATGGAGGAGGTAGGAGGAGAGAGGAGGGAGGAGGGAGCGAGGAGGACGATCCCAGGGGCGCCAGCAAAAATGTCCAAGATGGTCGACCCGGTCCCATGTGACAGGGAATGCGCAGGGCACGTGCCCACTACCGGACATCTAGAGATACGTGGGGATGGATGTTCTTCAATGCAGTGCCCAGCGTGTGGGCGACAATGCCCTGTGTGCTACCGTCACCTAACACAACACAACAGGACGGAAGTGGAGAAGGAGGAGGAGAATGAGAAGGATGGCGTGGCACCGAAGGTAGTGCCATTTTCGTTTCTCCATTCGTCACCTTCCCAATTCCCATCCCAGAGGGGGGGCTTATTTTGTTTGTGTCAGCCCGGCCGCGTGACCGATAAGAAAACCCACCCACAATCACCTGACAACCTCCCCACAAGTTTTTGGCAGCACAGTAATGATACACTTAGCTATCAGGAAATGCCCGCACTTTCTGCTACACCAGCCTTGCCGCTTCTGTGGGGTTCGGATGCGTGCCTCACGGCCATACCCGATCAACAAATCCTCTGGTGTGCCCGTTGTGCACCAGTTCCAGCTGCTCCAATCGCACGTCACAAACACCAGGGTGAACACACACACACACACCCTGGTTTACGAGATCCTAAACACACCGGCGTGACTTTCCCAAACGATGAAAATCCATGATATATATATATATATATATGCCTTCTGGGCCATTTGGGGACCGAGTTGGGGCCTCTTGGAACCCTCTGGAGGCCTTCCTTCCCGCTGCTCTGGCAGGTTCCAACATGAAGATCTGCGCTGTTGGCTTCACTCGTGGGCCATCCTGCGACCGCCCTTGGGGCCCTCTGACGGACCCTCTCGCGGCCTGCCTGCGACTCTGGCTGGCTACTCAACCCCAGCGCGACATCGTTGCGTGCAGTCTGGGCCACAGCCCCAGGCCATTCGCACCATCGGGCCACCGTGCCCTTCAGGGTGGTGGCTCCAGGAAACTGGGCTCGCTGACGGGGTCAAGGCGCCCCAGAGCCAGACTACCTCAAGTCCTCCTCCTCCTCCTCCTCCTCCTCCTCCTCCTCCTCCTCCTCCTCCTCCTCCTCCTCCTCCTCCTCCTACTCGTCCTACTCGTCCTACTCGTCCTCGTCCTCCTCCTCCTCCTTCCCGCCCTCCCTCCGTTGAATCAGGAATGCAATCACAAAAACCCCGCCCTCCCTCCCTCCCTCCCTTCCGCCTCCCTGCGACCTATTGTCCTTCCTCTCCCTCTGCGGGCAGAAGGGGAGAGGAACGAAGGGGGTAGCGCTGATCGCCGGGTGGCGGCGAATGCATCGTGAAGACCCCCCCGACTTCCGTGAAGGAATTGCAGTTCTTCCGCAGAACGTCGTACGTCCCCTGTCGGCGGCGGCCGCCCCGAGCAGGCGAAGGAGAGTGCAGGAGGAGCCCATCCGCCTCGCTTCCCCAATCGAATGCTCACCAGGCAGTCGACTCTGTGATCGTGGCATCCAACACGGCCCCACACGGCACCGCAAGACACGGCAACAGAACCGGCGGCATCTCCCGCGTGGCGCTAGTCCTCGCTGGCTTGCACCGCTGCAGCCACGAGGGGTTTGAGCATGGAGCGCTGGACCTGGAGGGGAAGGACGAGGGGAAAGAGAAACACCACTACGGTGAGGGCATTGGATACGGAATCTCGTGGAACGCCAATTGATGCTTGGCCCTGGATCTCACCTCCGCCCTCATCAGATAAGGCAGCCTCCAGGGTCCGAATCCTTAACCAACGCCCCCTCCGTACCTGATGAGGTCGATGTCTCACGGCGCTCCATGACTCGCTGGCTTTAGCCGCCTGTACGGCCGTGGTGCGCTTGGCGGTCGGAAGCTTCTGGGAGCCTCGCGGAAGCCTTGGGGGCCTCTTGGGAGCCGCTAGGCGCTAGGGGCCTCTCTGGGGGCTCTCGGACCCATCTGGGCGTCAAGTACAGGTGGTCTTGTTGGCTGGTTCGAGATTTGGACTGGTCCCGGACCCTCTTGGGCCTCAATTGGGGCCGTCTTGGGCCCCTCCTGGGCCCGTGTTGGGACCCTCTCGTCTTGAGCCTGTTGGACCGTCCCGAGGTCGTCTTGGGGCTCGGCTGGGCAGTCTTTGAGCATTTGACCGTCTCGTGACGACTGACCCCGATGCAAACGGCCCACTGAGACAGATGGACAGACGGTCGTGCAGCCTTCACCCAGAACGAGACAAGCTTACTGGAGTTCGTCGCTACCCTGTCCGCGCCAACTTGCTTCACCTAGTAAGTCCGCGGAGTGGATGGCCCGCAAAGCACAACTATCCACACGATCGGCCTGACCTTCCCCGCGGGGGCAAGGCGGCACTTAAGGAGCGCATCCCCTGATAGCCTCCATGTATCCGTCCACCGCAGCCCGAGGACGCACTGATCCGGATCAACGCAAACCCGGGTCAGTCTGGCCTTGCAGGATCCTACAAGGTCCTGCAAGATCCTGCACCCAAACCCGGGTCGGTGCACCCCTGGCCCTGCAGGATCCTGCAAGATCCGGCGCTGTGACTGACCCCCGTTTGCATGGACCCCCGTCCCTTGAGCCCCGAGGCAGCGCGGACTCTGGCCCGCCCGGACAGCCCAGAAGAAGCAGCCGCACGGCGCCGCAAGCGGCCCGCCCCATCCTCCAGCGGCCAAGAGCTCCTCTGGTTCGGCTGCCGCCCCGCCTCCCGACCGTCGCAGGCCTAGAGGTCAACACCAACACCAAGATCGGCGGCGTGCCTCCACCGAGGAGAGAAGATCCCGATCTCGGTGATGGTGGTAATCTTCTGGCCTTCCAGGTGGCCGAAAGAATACCACCAACGCCGAAATCTAGGATCAACTTCCCCCTGTGGAGGCAACCCCCTGTGCTAGTGCTGGTGCCAACTTCCAGGCCTCCGAGACCGCCCGCTCAAGTCTGACGGTCCCACGGGGTGACTGGCCAGCGAAGGGCAGCCCTCCGCAGGGGCAGCCCTCACTGCTCCGCGCTTCATCATATCCCCTTTTATGTACAGTCGGACTTCATGGGACAGGACACGAGAGAGGACAAACGACCCATCCGAGGGCCACATTGCCATAGGAATGCAGGAGGCATGGGTCGCGAGACACAGGACACAAGGGTACCCTTGATTTGGCAGGGTCGACCTACTAATCCGGGCCGACTGTAGTTCCCCCCCCTGTGGCTGCTGCGCTCTTGCTATGCCCGGTCCGCCCTTCACTTCGGGAGCGGCCAAGAGGGGGGTGTGCAAGAGGGGGGGGGTGAAAATCATGACCGGCGGCATGTGAGGGGCCCAGCGGGGGGGCCAGGGACGTAATGAAACAAGAAGAGGCGCCACGAGATCTGGGGAAATATCATGGCCCCCGCCATGATATCCACCCCCCCTAGTCATCACCCCCCTCTGTTCCGCCCCTGATCACTGTCCCTACCTCGAAGGCTACGCGAGCGTCTGGCCCAGCGAGGGCCGCCCTACCGCCGCAGGCGTGGCACCCTCGCTCATGTACGGCACGAGCCTGCTGGAGCCAGCGCTCCCCGCCTGCCCCCGCCGATCTGCAGGCCCCGGTGAGCGACTGACAGGCCAAGTCCAGTCCTCGTGGGAACTACAGTCGGGGCGTTGACCTAAGGAACGATAAAGAAGGAACGAGGTCCCTTTTTCCCATAAGTGAAACTCCGATGTTCCACGGAAAAACCTCAGGAAAACCCAAGGAGCACTGTAAAACAACTGAGGAACACGGAGCCCCCTCCTGAACGAGAAAGGTTTCCTTCTTCAGAGGCCCGACTGTGCGCGAGCAAAGTTCACGCCGTTGCGCCCACCGTGTTTGGGTCTGCCGGGATGGCCCCGTCGGCCACGCTGCAGCAGCCCCATCGGTGTGGCCTTTCCTACCCCCTCTGGTTTGCGCGGGCAGCCCGGCGGAGGGACCGGCCGGCAACGGGCAGCGCATCGTGGCTGCACTGCGCCAAGAGGTAGCCGCGCCGCAGTGCACGTGACAACCAGCCTCTCAACATAACCACAAGACATTTTGCTTCGTCCTCGTCCCACCACCTGTCCAACTGATTCCCCCTGCTCACAACACCCCGCCCCGCTTCCCACTCGGAAGGTGGCCCAACACCAGTTCCCACTGGTATCGCGAGAACCCCACCAGAGTGTCTGGATTCATCTGTTCCAGCGTCATAACGCAGAAGCCAAAAATGGGCACATCGACCACCGCCGATAGAACTCTGGAAATCATGGGTGAGTGTCTTCGGTCTTTCCCGCGGTCTGACATGAGCCGAATAGGGGTCATCCTTCCTTTGAAAGCAGCTGAAGCCGCAGTGTCCAACTATCGGCAGGACATGGCAAGTGGACTACACCAGCGGTGTCAGTGGGACCCCCCCGTCATCGTCATCATCACCATCACCATCGCCACCATCCTCGCCACCACCTCCAACACCATCATCAGAATCGCCACCACAATCACCATCACCATCAACATCACCATCACCATCAACATCACCGTCACCATCATCACCATCATCACTATCACCATCACCATCATCATCATCATCACCAGCATCATCATCATCATGATCCCCCCCCGCGCTCTGTTTCTCAGTTTCCTAGTGTCTGATGCCAGAGCCGTCAGGAGTCTGACTGCACACGAGCGTGGGTAAGCAGATGCACGGCGGCTCAAATCTCACCCGATATGAAGGAATGAAAATAATGGCTTGGGTTAGGCCACGGGGAGCCGAAAAACTCATTACGAGCGCGCATAGATCATTCACGTACAACTTCCATGATCCCCCCCGCGCTCTGTTTCTCAGTTTCCTAGTGTCTGATGCCAGAGCCGTCGGGAGTCTGACTGCACACGAGCGTGGGTAAGCAGATGCACGGCGGCTCAAATCTCACCCATATCACCCATAACATGATGTGTCACCTATTCAGCTGTGTTGGGAGGCGCAGCACACGCTTGGCACGGGCACTGCAAGAGAGCGGCGACAGCGGCAGCATTGCGCGGCCTCACAGAGTCTCGTTTTTCAGCGTGTTCAACTGCCTCTCCAACCAGCAGTGCAGCGCCAAGGGAAGCCAAGCGTAGTCTTTCGTCATCATCATGCATGACTTCTTACAGCGCTGCACCTCTTTTGGTAGACATCCAAAAACCACGACGGTGCACGCAGTAACGGTTGCGATGCTTTTGATATATGTCCAGGAAGAAACTGCATGGCGCACCTGGAAATTCTCCATGTCCTGGCCGAACGGTCGGCCTTGTATATAACATCCCACACTTTCACGATGAGTAAAAAGCCACAAGCTGTCATCTGTCACGACGGCTAGAATCTGAAGAAAATTGGCCATACAGTCAAAACACTGAGTTTTCCACAAGATGGAACTGCTTTGGTTCTTAAGCTTCGAGCCCTGGTGGAGGTCTGACCTGTGCGCGTGCAAGCGCCACGTAGAGTCGACTCCCATCGTCGACGGGGCAGGGCCGCCGAAACGAGGTTGGTAAAACAAAAAGGCCTCGATCAACTTCTGACCGATGCCCGCGTCGTAGCCCAGCATATACCTGTGGGGCATGAAGTCGAAGGTGGCCACATTGAAGTTTTGCACTCTGTCGGTGTTCAGCCTGTAATCGTCGACGTATGCGACCAGGTTTTGATATGACTCTCGATGTTGTGTCCGGGTTCGTTCTCCTGCCGAGCTTCGTCCTGGAACCAAAACGTGCTGCGTACCTGGCTCCTTTGCCATCCTCGCATGGTGGGGCTCGCACTCCAGCATGCGCACCTGCACGAACGGGTTGCCATCCTCCTCCGAGGCCGTGCCGCCCGAATCCTCCAGACGGTCGGCCCTCTCCTCCGCCTAGTCCGACAGGACTGGCGGGGGGGGGGCGATCGCGACCCCGTTGTAGAGTAGCTCGCCACCTCTTTCCTGGTGGCCAAGGGTCCGTCTGCCAACGAGGCGCCTGAACTTCCCTCTCGTCCGTCATCGCTGCTCTCCTCGCCTTCCTCACCAAGGACATGACGAGCCCAATCCAATACAGAAGTAGAGCATTGTGGAACTTCATTTCTGGCCGAAACGGCTACGGAGCCCTGCTGGTCTCGAGCGAGGCGACATATATCAGGCGCAACGCTCAACTCGACTGCATCCCCTCGTCGCAGACCAGGGTCCATCGAAGGCTTATCGGAGCTGTTGAACTCACTCGGGACCCACCTGAATCCCACGAAAAGGTTACGGGACAACGACAGCGCCGACGCTCGCCGAACCTGGACCAGAAGAGGAAAAGCACGTGCCCTGGATCTCGCAAAGCTGAGCGTGACTCCGAGGTTATCCCCAAGAGCCAGAAGGCGACAACTATGAACTCCAGGTTCCAGAGCGACGTTAGCGATCCCAAGGACTCCAGCTCTGGCTTCTCCTTCATGTACAGCCATCTTTCTTTCCAGGAATGACAGAAAAGCACCTACCAGACTTTTCCCACAAGCCCCTCGAGCGGCACCTCGGGAAACGAAAAATCTTGCTCCCAGAGCTCCGAGACGTCCTCGAGAGACGGCGGTGGCGTCACGAACACCAGCGGGTCATCAGGGTCGAGGCAAGCAAGCGCGTGCCCACGAGCCTGAGCAGCGTCACGACGAACAAATCTAGCTCTCTCTTGGACTCTCCCCTGAGCGGCAGCCCAAGCAGAAGACCTAGTAGCAGCGCAAGCCCCCGCGCCCTCGGGACAGGAATCGTACGTTAACACATTCCCAAGCCAGCCCCGGGACCAGTCCGAGCGGATAAGGGGCATGAGGTAGAGGAACGCCTCGAGCTCTTCTCGCGCAGTCGCCCACAGTGGGGCCCAAGAGTGACGGTACCTCCGAGCGAACTTGTAGACAGAGGCGAAGCAGGAGAGTAGAGGGCGCTGTAGCATAGCGAGGTAGGTACAATGTCCCAGAAGCACCTCGAGAGCTTGTCCAGTTACCTTGGGCGCCTCCAGAAACGCCTCCAGACCCAAACGAATCTTCCAGCATCGCTTTCCCGAAGGCCTGAAACACTTTAGCTTTCCGTTGAACTCGATCCCAAGAGCATCCCTAACCTGCCCAGCCTCCTGAACTTCGTGGCACTGCATCTTGTTAGCGTTAAGGACGTTTCTGATGTTATCCAGGGACTTCTGGACCTCTTTCCTGTCAGCTCCCAAAACCCCCACGTTGCCCACATACACGTAAAAGACGGGCGCGGAGTTCTTACCTATGACGAGGCCGCCCCCCCTGTCCTCCACCGCCGCTGAGCTTTCCATCACAGGTGCCTCCCTTACCAAGCGAGTATTGATGCGCTGGGCCCAGAAGACTGACCAAGAAAAGCCCATGGGGAGCACGGCCATGGCGGCCCACACAGGCCCGTCTCCAGGAATCTCCCGTCCCCGAACATGCGCTAGCCCTAGCTCTCGTGCCCGAACGGGGGGCAGGCAAAAGTAATCGCCCAAGTCGCTGTCTATACCCATCCAGCGAAAGCAGTTGTCCACGTCGAGAGAGGCCTCATACAGCTCAACGCCTTCCTCCACCTCCAAGCGGGCGAAACTCTCGGGCGTGGCCAACAGGGTACTAGGATGATCTCGGAAGAGCTGATTAGTGCGCCTCGCATCGATGATAAGCCGCTGCCTCCCATCCTCTTTCCGAACGAAAAACGGGGTGGCAATCTCTTTGGGCGTAGTCGACCACCTGATCAGACCACGCCTGTGCAACATCTTTAAAGAGCGAACGTACTCGCGCCGTCGAGTGCGAAGCCTCTGATCAAAATACGGGATAATACACTCGCCATAGTCTCTCACCTGCATCACTTCCTTCACATCTCTCATCATGCTCTCCTTGAAGTTCACCACCGCCTCCCTGTCCTCATGGGAGACCAAGTCCTGAAGTAGCTTTCCGCCCTGGACCCCCTCGGGCAGCGAGACAAGGGTTCGATCGAACTCGACGACAGTGGAGGCTGCGTGGTCGCAACCACACTTGCTCTGGAGGGGCTCGCGCACGGCTCCCTCCCTGCTCAAAAAAAAGGCGACACAGGCGGCTGTTGGGCAACCCGACCCGCAACAAAATCGCGTATCTCACTCACCACTTCTCGGCGAACGAGTGGGCTCGAAGCTCGGGAATGCAACCAGTTGAGGCCCGTCAGGACCTCCCCGAACTCACGCGATTGATGGCTCCTGAGGTTGACCCTCTGCCTGCACCTCCTCGAGAGACGCGTCGGCGAAGGAGCCGAGTAGTTACAAAACTCGAGCGGAAACAGTGGCACCCGTCGTGCTCCCTGCGCATCACTCTCGCCTGTCAACGTGCCTACCGCGCGGCGACTGCGGCAAACACTATCCTTGGTCTTGCTGGCAAGGGTGGAGGCGTCACTCATCCTTGCCCTCCTCATTGTCCTTGCCCTTCCCTGCGGTCATACCGCGCTCGAGGGCGACCTCCGCCTCGTCCTTCAAAGCCTCGGCCTTGCTGATCTGCCTGTCGATCTCCGCCCACTCTCGTACAAACTTGGCCACGTTGGTGTAGAGCACAGGCACCGCAGGCTGACGTAGGCGATTGTAGCACAAGAACTTGTCGGCCACCCCGTAGATCGGGATAATCGGGTCCTTACCACGAGCCTCTGGCACAGACTGCCCTCTCCGCCCCGAACTCACGCGCGAGGCGGCTAGCTCGAACACCCCCGCCATATCCCGAACCTCTTGAGAAGAGCGATCGTTCTCACACCAATCCACCGTCAGGTGATGGCGAGCGAACCAGAACGTGGGCACCATTCCCAGCTGGACCCGCGATGCCCTCAACCATAGGAGAGCACGAACATCATTCACGGAACAGACCAAGAAGGTGTCCTCGACCACCACTTTGACCGAGACCGCCCAGACGCGCGCCCTGCGGGTGAAAACATTGGACTTCTCCGCAAGCGTGCTCGCGTCCTCTTCCCCCGTCTTGCCAGGCTCCTCACCTGTCCCAGGGAGCTGCAGGCCCGCAAAGTTCCCCAGCAGGGCGTAGAGCCTCGCTGGCGAGCTAGGGCCTCCATCACGATCGTCGAGCGTGTGAGTAGAACCCAGGCCCGCCAAGAGCGGGAGCTTGCGGCCCGCGAAGTAGCCGTCGAAGCCATCCACCTTGAAACACCCGAGCACCGCGACGACCGAACCAAAATTGGCGAAGTCGCAACTAACGCACCTCGCGAAATGGTCGCCCTGCACTCTCACGTGCGACGTCTCCTTGAGCCCATCGAACTCGGTGACCTGCGACACCTTGGCCTTCAGATCCGAGAGCTTGTCCCAGGGTCCCACCTCAACTCTGATCGGCCCGCGGTCTCCAGCAGCTGTCCACCCCTTCACGCAGACATAGAAAACAGGTGCGGGCCCCTCCCAGATACTTTTGTCATCCAGAGACTTAACTCCCATCAGCAAAATCCGGCCATGCCTGTAGAAGCGCCCCTCGTACCAGTAGATGTCATAGCCTCCTGGCGACGCTGCCGCGACCCCCGCCATCACTGTTCGATGCGACCGAGCCCTCCACGACGAGAGGCAGCAACACGACGAGGACCGCAAAGCCGAGAGAGTAGACCGCCAGCCGCTGCTCCGAGTAACACCTCCAAGAGGCCAGTATTGGCAAGGGAAACGTCCGCGCCCGAGGGGTAACGAAGCACGTCCTGGCGAAGAAATCGGGCGGCTCCCGCACACGGGCTGCCGCACCTGCGTGAGCGGACACACACAGTCGGCCGTCCTCGGACACTCCGAAACCAGGCGGCAATCACAGAAACTATCTGAGCACTGGTGTCGACTGGGAAGTGAAGCTAGCGAGTTGACCTCCCTCGCAAGTCCAACAATGAGGAGACCGACGCCAACCTCTGGCCTCATGCTTTTGAGCCGAAAAACTAATTACGAGCGCGCATAGATCATTCACGTACAACTTCCACCATCATCATCATCATCATCATCATCATCATCATCATCATCATCATCATCATCATCACCATCACCATCATCACCATCAACAACATCGTCATCGTCATCATCAACATCATCATCACTCTCCCTTCGCATCTTCCGCCTCGTCTCATTCACTACCGCTCACTCTCCCTCTGCTCCTCCCCCTCTTCGGATGTGCACGTCGGCGCGCTCTCGCGGCGGCGGCGGAACACGCCTTGGAGAACAGTGGACCCAGCGTCCTGTCGGAGGCGGAGGGCTCGACAGAGCTCGGGCCCAGCGACAAGGAGGCCTCCTTTCTCTGCTCGCCATCTCCTCCTCCTCCTCCTCCTCCTCCTCCTCCTCCTCCTCCTCCTCTTCCTCCTCCTCCTCCCCCTCCTCCTCGACACAGCCCAGCGCGAACTTGGATCCGTCCGCGCCACATCCGCCTCCTACTCCTCCTCCTCCTCCTCCTCCTCCTCCTCCTCCTCCTCCTCCTCCTCCTCCTGCTCTCTCCTCTTCCGTTGGATGTGCTCCTATCGATGGATTCATCCGCCACAGCGCTTGCAGCGGTTTGAATATTTGTAGGACCCTGATGTGCTGCAGTAGTTCCGCCTCTTGTGGGGGAAAATCACTTATTGTCGTCGACGACGACCACGACGACGAAAACGACGACCATCACCACAACGACGACAACGACCACCACCACCACCACCACCAAGCTTGCGAAGACGGCCAAGGCCAGAAGTGGTGGTGGTCGTCGTCGACGGCGACGAGGACTATGACGACCTGTGGACCTCGCCGGGAAGCCAAACACTCCTGCGCTGCAAGGTTTTATCGCTCCCGCTCCCTGAAGCAACCACAGCACCACACCCACAGAGGGGGGGAGGGGGGGGCATCTTCGCAGGGAAGGGGGGGGCACCATGCCCATGGCCCATAAAAAAGGGAGGCCTTGACCCTAGATTGCATATACATGTCCGCCACCGCGCCTCGTCGCACTGAGTGGAGTGTCCTCATGCCTCTTCGAGTTCTCTAGTGTAGAAGTTTCCAGGCCCTGGCGTTCCGGAACTCTGGGGCGCTCGGGCGCTCACTATTTTTGCTCGCTGGAGCATGCGACACGCGTGCGGAGCTACATTGTCAATGTCACGTTTCCGTGCGGCTTTGCCGCGTTCCTGCTCTGAACGCGCACCGCTTGAGGCGGCGGAGAGCTTCAGAGATCCATCCAAGAACGGGCGTTCCTGAGGCTTGCGACGAGACTTGTCCGAGACCTCTGCAGCTTGGTTCGTAAACTAGATGTCCAGCACGCCCTGAGATGGTCCCGCGGCAACGTCCTGGGGCTCTCTTGGGAACACTTGAGCCGTCTTGGGGCGCCGGCCCAAACGGCGAAAACCCTTCAACATCACTTAGGTACTTGCACGATGTTTGCAGGCTTTCTAATACGAAGCGCACCCAAGACGGCCCAAGAGGTCCCTAAGACCGCCCAAGACGGCTCATGCTGCTCTGCCACCCAAAAGAGCTCAAAGGGCTCCCAGGACAGCCCCAAGAGGGGCCCAAGAGACGAACTCGACGTTCCAGGCCCTTCCAGATAAGATGGACCTCGAGGCGCCCAAAAGTCCTCGATATTGTTTTCTAATCAAACGGTGCCAATGACAATCTATCAAATCAGTACTGTTTTGCCGCGCCTGCCGCCGTAACGGTCTGTCTGGTCATGGTGCGCCTGACACATTGAAATTACCCGTCTATCATATTCGACCAAGAGCCTCCTAGATCAAGTATGGTCCAAGACATCACGAATGACATGAAAATCTCTATGGCACCACGTGGAAAAAGGTAAAGGGGGAAGAGGGGAGACGAGGAGGGAGGACAGAGGTGGAACAAGATAACGACAATGGTAACTAATAACAGACTTCGCTGCAAAACAAAAACCCTGCTGGGCTTACATCCCCTGAACCAGACGCCACGAAACAACAAAGCCGCGCACCGTATTGATCGCTTCGCTCGCCAAGGAGTCCGCAAGCACATTAACTCCCGGAGGAGGCCCGAAGAGGCCCCCTAGAGGCTCCGAAGACGCCCGCAATAGGCCAAAGGAGGCCCCGAGGAGGCCCCCAAGAGGCTCCCCAAGAGGCTCCCCAAGAGGCCAATAAAAAGTGCCCCCCGATAGGCTTCAACGAGGTCTCCAAGACACCCCATAAGATATCTGAAAGGTTTCTTGTCCACGACCCACGCAACGTGCAGGAAAGGCCGAGGGCATCTCTCTTTCTCTTTCTCTTTCTCAACAGTTGTGTTGTTATCTCTCACTCTCTCATCTCTGGTTGTTGCTTTCTCTCTCTCTCTCCCCCTAACTGTAGTTCTACGTATATACATACGTAAACCTAGACATACATACATACATACATACATGCATTCCTTCATACGCTAATGCAAGCATGCGTACGTACACACGCACATGCATACACACATGCAAACAAACATACCAACATACAAACGTATATGCATACATACATACATACATACATACATACATACAAACATACATACATACATACATACATACATACAGACATACATATATATATATATATATATATATATATGCATGCAGATTTACGTACATACATACATACAGACATGCGTTAAGCCGTACAGCCAAACATGCATACATACATACACGCATACACGCATATATGCATGCATGCATACACACATAAATCCATACAGTCATGCATGAATACACATGCAACCACATGACCACACATACAAGCCTACATGCATACAAGCATGAACACGTACATGCATAGAAACGCATGCATACGCACATACATACATACACACATACATACATACATACATACATACATACATACATACTACATACATACATACATACATACGTACAGCCATGCATGCATACAGACATTCATACATACAGACACACCTACATACATACATGCATACACACACATACATGCAGACATGCGTGTTTGCATACACTCGCACAACATACATATATACAGACATGTACGTATACATGCACACAAACATACGCACAACCATACACACCGATACATACATTCATACCCACATACATGCATATATGCATGCACACACCTACATACACACATAGATAGTGGCATACACACATCATACATGACTACTCACAGGCACATGCATACCTACATACATGACTAACCGTATACATATATATATATATGTATATACATGCATGCATGCATGCATACCTATATACCTACATGCAGACCTGCATATACATACACACACACATACACATGCACATGCACATACACATACGCATACACATACACGTACACATGCACATGTACAAACATACACATACACGTATACCTACACATACATATACATGTACACATACGCATGCACATGCACATACACACATACATACATATATATATATTTACACACTGGCAAACACACAGACACACATATGCATACGCACATACATACGCATACGTACATACTTGCATGCATGCATGCATACACACATACATACCTGCATGCATGTATACACATACATACGCATACAGGAAACATTCGCACGCGCTCCGAACGCGCTCTGTTTCTAGGTAGCTTGAGGCGCCCGGGAATGCAAACTGGAACACGCTTGACTCCTCACTCTCCTCCTGCCCTGTTTTCCTCACTCAACTTTTCGTGGCTCGTTATCTGTCGTGTTTAATGTTGTCTTCTTCCGCTTCCGGTTGTCTCCTCAACCCTCGTCCACATCATGGCATCCTCGTCCCTCACCCCCCCCCCCTTGCCCTCCAGAACGCTCCAAGATTGCTCCAAGAGGCCCCCAAACGACACCCATGAGGGCTCAAGAGCCCCCCAAGAAGCCCGCAAGAGGCCCCTGGGAGTCCACACCGGGACTGGACTGCACGTGGTCTGGACGTGCACCCCGCGAAGCGAGGAATGAGGCAGCCAGAAGGGAAGACGGAGGAGATGGGAGAATAGAGGACCAGGAAGCAAGAGAGGTAGGCAAATAGAAGGATCTGAAGGGAAGGAGGCAAGATAGGTCGGAGACATGCTGGAAGGAGGAACGGAGGAATTGGCACACCGACCGAAGGGAGGGGGCCAAGGGGCGCCCGCCCGAACATGTAGACTCTCTCTTCTCTGTTCCTCAGAAAGGACCCCGCCTGGGATGTCTTTGCAAGCGTACGTCTCGAAACATGTTCAGAATGCAACTCCTCGGGGCAATATTCCGGGGGTCCGCTGGGATGTCTTCTTTTTTTTTCGGCCACGCACGCCGGGCGGCTTCCGACCGCGACCGCGGCTGCAGAGCTGCAGGCGGAGCTGTCGGCGCGCATCGGCGCACCGTGATCTGCCACGGTGACTCATCGCGGCAAGCCAGTAATGGAAAATGGGAAAATGTACTGCACACAACGCTGTGAACTACCATGCGCGCGCCACGCGGCATACATCTGTAATGCCGTTCTCCAGACCTACCTACAAAATGGACAAAATGGTAATGGCTCCGGTCCTCAGAAAAGATATCAAGACCTCAAGAATAATGAGTACGTCTAGCGTGTGATTGTGAACATCAAGCAAGTGCGCGTCCGCTAGGATGTCTTGGAAGGGTTCGCAGGGGCGCTTTGGAAACAATGCTGAAGCCTCTGGGGCATCATTGTTTCTAGCCTCGTGGGGCATCTTGAAGGTCTCTTGGGGCCTCCTGGGGTCTCTTGCGGGTTTCGGGGAGCATCGCGGGGCGGATAGCTCGAATTGTTGGTTCGGAGTCCCGCTATTGGGCCACTTTGTTTTTATTATCGGCGGCGCAGCGTGTTCACCAGATACGCGCCAACCGCAAATCAACGCACCAAACGCGCGCTCAAGTCGCAGCAATTCAGCAGAAACGCGCTCTAGCAATGCTAACTTTGCCTCAGGAGGAAGCAACTCACGGAAGCTTGTTTTCTGCTATGTGGCGCAAATATCGAAAGAGAACCAACCAATGCTGAGATTTCGCTCTCCCCCGAGGTCGGTAGGCATCCCACGCGAGCCCGTCGCAAGTTGCCGAAACTTCGCTGTTTTCCCCAGATATTTTCTCCACTGCTTGTACTCCTTCTCCGCCTCCCTTGTCTTGAACCCATTGTCCTGTTTGAGGTCGACACTGTCCGAGTCCCCGCGCCCCGCTTCCCCGAGGACTATCATCTGCAAGGGCACATAACCCGAAACCCAGCCTTGCGACCGCACAGCCAAGGCGTGAAGCGTGTGCTCATCTCTATTCATTAGGAAGTGCAGCTCGTCCAGGTAACCCATCTGCCTGAACTTGCTGGCGTTGTACAGGAGAGGGCCCCTGTTCCCCGTCGGCCGCACGAAGAAGGTGCCCGACTTGTTCACCAATTTGGGGTCGAGCGGTCGAGCCCTCTGGCGATCCTCACACCGGCCCACCCTGTCGCCCGGCAATGCATCCCATCCGTGCGCGCAGTTGTCGGATATGCCGAAGACGTCGTCATATAGGCGCGCAGGAAGCGACATGTGGACATTCCATCCGATCTGGGTCATTACCCAGTCGTCTTGCATGATGATTAGGAACTGGCCCTCGGCCAAGATTGCACCTCTGTTGTTTGAAGCAGTCTCGAATACAGCGGAAGGCTGATCGACCAGCACCACCCGCCGCAGTGATCCGCACCGGCGAAAGAATGAGTCGCCGCAAGCGGCGACACACATCTCGCGCACAGGCTCCCAGTAGCGCTGGTCCGACTTCCCGCGCCTCACGTGCCCAGTGACGTTCTTGAGAAATTCCGGGCTGCACGCCGTGGCGCTCCTGTTCCAGACAATCGGCAGGTAAGCATCGAAGGTTTCCTCGGCCCGTTACAAAAGTTGCGCGTTGCAGCCATCGCAAAATGCAAGTAGTTCGTAAGACCCTCTCGCGGTGATCAAATAAGAAGCCAGGACAGTCACAAGCCTTGTATACCGGTTATGCATATTGACGATCAAGCTATACTCGACGGGCGGTAAGTGTACCCTGCCTTCCGAGGAGCCTAAGGAATCCGCCGGCCCCCTTGTGGGGCCACCAGGCTGTAGGCGCGGGTTCGCAGTTTCCAGTACCAGTTGTAGCTTGTAGTTTCCAGTGTTACAGTTCTGCTTCTTGCTGGTTACTGTAACGAGTTGATTGACCGCGCGACGGGGGGGGAGGCCCAAACAGGATTTTTTAGCACCCCCTGGGCGCGTTGTCTGAATTGCTGGGGGGGCTCGAAATCGACACCCCTCACGCAGATCCGCGGGGTCAGGGTCCAAAAACACAGGGATTTGCCACATTTCTGAAATTCGGTGCCACCCCTCACGCAGATCCGCGGGGTCAGGGTCCAAAAACACAGGGGATTTGCCACATTTCTGAAATTCGGTGCCACCCCTCACGCAGATCCGCGGGGTCAGGGTCCAAAAACACAGGGATTTGCCACATTTCTGAAATTCGGTGCCACCCCTCACGCAGATCCGCGGGGTCAGGGTCCAAAAACACAGGGATTTGCCACATTTCTGAAATTCGGTGCCACCCCTCACGCAGATCCGCGGGGTCAGGGTCCAAAAACACAGGGGATTTGCCACATTTCTGAAATTCGGTGCCACCCCTCACGCAGATCCGCGGGGTCAGGGTCCAAAAACACAGGGGATTTGCCACATTTCTGAAATTCGGTGCCACCCCTCACGCAGATCCGCGGGGTCAGGGTCCAAAAACACAGGGATTTGCCACATTTCTGAAATTCGGTGCCACCCCTCACGCAGATCCGCGGGGTCAGGGTCCAAAAACACAAGGGATTTGCCACATTTCTGAAATTCGGTGCCACCCCTCACGCACATCCATCGCAAGGCGTGGTAACCCAAACTGCGAGTACTCCCTCGGCCCTTTAATCCCAAGGTGTGGTAACCAAGCTCGTAAACCATACACGTCTTACCAATCGCCCTGTGTGGTAACCCCTCTTGTGATCAGTTGGTTTTGCCGATTGCGAATCGGCCTCGCATGAAGTTCCGATACTGCTGCGCGACAGCGCCAAAGCCTCATGACTTAGCTCTTCCATGGCCCATTCTCCGAGAGAGGGGGCCGGCGGCAGGGGGCGAAGCCCTTACGGATTACAGTACACTCTTGCACGCGGCTCTGGCTGCCGTTCCAGATCAATGGGGACTGCATCCAGCACAAGTTGAACAGCTTGGGCAGACAAGTTCAGCAGCTGCCAGCCAGATTTCACGAGTTGCTGGGCTACATCGTGCAGCTCCACGGGGCCACCAACAGCAGGGCCACTCTTGCCTGCTTCGGTGAGCTGCTGGAAAGTATGCGACTGGCAGCTGGCTTGCTGAGTCGTAGTCTGCTCATGAATCGGCTTCGGCAAGGCTGGCTGTGATGAGGGTCGTGGAGTCGTTGTCTGTTCCAGAAGCGACTGTGACGGCGCTGGCTGCGAAGAGTGATATTCAGGAGACTGTGCTGCCGATGCAGCGTGCAACACCATGGATCCATGTACAAAGGCCCGTGGGTCAATAACCACGACGACTGCTATCCAACCGATCCAATACATAATCAACAACAGACGCACGTTCATAAGCGAAAAGCGTGGGCTGGACTGGATGAGATGTCTACGATTTCGATTGATTGATCCGATTCCACTATTGGGCCACTTTGGGGGCAATCATTGGGCTCTCTTGGGCGACTCTTGGGCCGTCTTGGGGCGGCCCCCGGGGCCCAGGGCGTCTTCCCGCATGCCTTGTTCCTCTGTCAGCGTCCAAGACAATCCCAGAAGCCTCCGAATCTCCGCACGATCGGCCCAGGATGCCCAGGATGGCCTCCAGATGGTAGATAAAGTGCCCACGACGTCCCCAGAGGCCCCTACCTGGGGGCCCCGAAAGGCCCAAATCATTGGCCTCCCATTGGTCGTTCAATGTGTTTTGGGAGCTCTCCGCGCTTCGAGCCCCCGACGCTCCACAGCGCCCCCGAAACCGCCCCAGGACTGCCGCAGGGGCACCCGGGAAGGCCCCCAGACGCCCCCAAGAGGGCTCCAGGACGGCCCCAGGGGCGCCCAGGACCGCCCACGAGGGCCCAAAGACAGCCCCAGGAAGGGCCCAAGAGGGGGAACACGAGCGGAACATCCATGCCTGCCGCTCCAGGACGCCACCAGGAGGCCCCGAGGAGACGCCAGGAGGCGCCGCAGGGGCCCCAGGAGCCCCCCAAGCGGCTCCCAAGACGTCCCCGGAGGCATCGAAACGACCCCACGGAGGCGTCCAAACGGCCCCCAAGAGGCCCCCGCGAGCCCCCCCCCTTTGGCGACGATCCCGGCGAGCACCCCAAAGCCCCATGGCCCCCAACCAACCCAGGCACAGTGGCGGGATGGGTCGACAGCCATGAGGTATAGCCCTAACCAACCCCTTAACCCCCCCCCAGGCCACCCCCCCTGAATCTCCCAGGTTAAGGGGGCGAGGGGGAGGGGGAGGGAACCAAAAGAGGGTAGATGTTTCTCGGCCGCCGTGTGCACGCTCGGCCCCTGTGTGAAACCAGCGTGGCTTAGATGAGACACGGTGCCAAAACTTGGACCCCAATTCACTGATTGGGCAGCTTGTGTGAAATCTGCGCATCAGGCTCTGACCCAACAGCTGGGGCGTCGTCTATAGAACCGCGCACTGCGAGAGCCCGAATCCGCAACGCACAAGCCCCCCGACTCCGCAGACGCACAGAGAGTGAGGGAAGAAAGCGAGAATGACAGTGAGTCAGGAAATGCCTCAAGATAACTATGAAGATACAAGGAAAAGGACGACGGTCAAATGGGAAGCCGCCAGTGGAGGGCAAAGAGGAGGACAAAGAGGAGGAAGATGACAGCGCCTAGGACTTCAAGGAGTATCAAGACAGAGATTCTGCACGATCGTTTCCAGTGGAGAAGGACTCGTATACATGTCGCGACGGTACGAAACTCCCCCTGCAACGATAAACCTGGCCAACACCCCCCGGACAACCCCTAATAACCTGGCCGACCCTCCTGGCCACCCCCTCTGGCCAGCCCTGTTTAGTGTAAGTGGCACGTGCGCGCCAAGGCTCATTCAAAAGGAATTGGGAGCACCGATGGGGTTGCCACAGCTTGCGATTAGACGAAGCAGTGAGATGCACCCTTGTTGGCATACAAAACAAAATGTCGACAAAACCGTGAGAACTACGGTGGGAGAGACAATGCTCTTCTAGCCGCTTTGTACAAGCATCACCGATGTTCAGCTGTATGTTGTACGGACCCTTGTAAAAAGACAAGAGGGCTACACAGGGAACCGAATGGAAAACCAATGCTTGTCTAGCAACTATGTGCACCGCCATTCAAATCCACTGGTTGTTTGAAGGCTTGATGTTAGCATGTTCAAAACCCCTTGTGCGTTTTGGAACCTGGCGCCGCGAACTGTGTGAGAGGTGCGATCTGCGTGAGGGTGTCCCGATCCAAGCTGCCAGGCAATTCGCGGACGGACGACACAACAATCGCCTCTGAGCCCGACTCCCTCAAAGAGGTGCGTATGAAAACAGTGTATATACACCTCTTTATATATAGCTCTAAGCCTTGCACCGCACGGCGGAAGCCCAGCCTCAAACACACAAACTACTGTTCCAGCACAAGTGTTTGACAACATGAGGCCTCTTACACATGAACTGCATGAGTTCGCAACATCGTTGTTTCAGCTTGAGCTACAGTCGGGGCGTTGACCTAAGGAACCCTAAATAAGGAACGAGGCCCCTTTCTCCCATGAGATAAACTTTGATTTCCCATGGAAGCCCCAGAGAAAAAAACCCAAGGCAAACTGCAAAACAATCAAGGAACGCCGAGCCCCTCCCCAACGAAAAGGGTTCCTTCTTGAGCGCCCCGACTGTAAAGGTCGGCGGGGCAGATTTGAGGACATTCAGGGAGGGTGTGGAGAACGGAGCGCCAACGATGGCGATCGGAAATACAGTGCTTGTGACGTGCAATTTTTGTTGCGCTGCAGATTTGTGTTGGCTTTCAGTTGTTTCGTGTCGGGGATGGACAGACCTCCCTTTAGTAAAACGTGGTTAGTGGAAACGACCTGAGGCCCAAACCTGGCGGGCGCAAGCCTGGAAAATAACGGCCGCGGCGCCCTCTCGAGAGCCGAAAACGAACAATTCACTAATCGACGTGTCACTGTTGGGGGTTTTGTCCGACCCTGATCGTGTCCTTGTACGAGCTTAAACGGAAGGGCGCCGGAGCAGGGTGGAGGAGATTCAGGGAGGGTGTGGAGCCCAGAGCGTCAACGACGGTGATCAGAAAGTCTGTCTGTTTGCATTGCAGCTGTTATTTTGCGTTGCAGTGCCTTGCTGCATGCACAGCACGTGTGTTGTTAAAGCCCTTTGCGCTGCAGATGTGTACTGAATCGCACTCGCTTTGGTTATCCTTATCTGAGCTTGAGCTTAAAGCCATCAGAACAGGCTTGATGATATCCAGGGAGGGTGCGCAGACCAGAGCGTCAGCGCCGGTGAGCGCGCCCTTGTTTGCGCTCGAGCTCGAGGTCGTCGAAGCCAGTCTGGAGGAAACTCTGCGAGGGTGCGGAGCCCAGAGCGTCAACGACGGGGGTCAGGAAACCGCCCTGCCCTTTGCCAGCTGTCTGGCCCTGGCGGATTTGCTCCTGCCGCCAGACTGTACCCAAGTCAACGTCCAGCCGCCGATTGCTGCAGAGAAGGCGGACGTCGTAGCCGACGCGGGCCAGCTCAACCACGAAAGCCGCGCATAACTTTTCCTGGCGTTTGGGGTTGTAGGTACCTTTGCCATGGCCCTTCCTCCACTCTGCGGTTTCTTCTGCAGTGCACTGGCTCTGCGCTGCAGTTGTCTGCGCTGCAGTCTCTGTTGCGCTGCCTTCTTTTTGGCACTGCAACTGTTTCGCGTCCTTGCTTCACCTTTGAGCTCAAGGTCGCCTGGACACACTTGTGGAGATTCAGGGGAGGGGGAGCCCAGAGCGTCAACGACGGTGATCAGGAATGCAGCTTCTGCTGCATTGTTGTTTTCTCTGGCGCTGCAGCTGTCTTTTCCATTGCAATTGTTTTGCGCTGCATGTTCTGTAGCATCGCAGCTCTGTTTGCGCTGCAGTGTGCTTGCATTGCAGTGGTTCCGCATCCCTGTCTGAGCTTAATCGTACGGTCGCCGTCGCCAAGAAAGGTTTCAGACGTTTCAGGGAAGGTGAAGCCCAAAGCATCAACGACCATCACCAGAGACATGCTTTCTACATTGCAGTACGTTTGCAACCGCGTGGGCGGGATCCTGGGTGCTAACTTCGGGCTGCCCCTTTGCTCACTTCTCACTCTGACGCCAAGGGAGCAGCCCTGCTCCGTTGCTCCCTTGCGCCCTTGCCGCTCAAAGGGGCAGCAGTGCCCCCTCTGCTCCCTTGCCCCTTGCCGCCATGGGCGCGGCCCTGCTCCCTGGCTCCCTTGTTAGCCTGTGGTGGAACTGCCGTATCACTGGCGGCAAAGGGGACAGCAATGTAGGTGGAAACCGCGCTGGTCCTTTCCTTTGCACCTTGTTTGCCTCACTACGTCATGTTGCGCTGTATTGTTGTTGCTCTCAGCATCGATGCTTGGACTTGAGCCTGAGATTGTTCACGAATATCGTGTACATAGGTCTGGCAATTTCGGTAGAGGCCAATCTTGCTTATGTACATGTGGGTTAGGCCGAGTACCGATGGCGGCGAAGGACTGGCATTTTTGGATGGCAGCCACGCTGTTGGGTCTTTGCACCTTCATTGTTTCACAGCGTTGGGTCGCGCTGTATGTTTCTACTCGGTCGCGCTGTATGTTTTTACTCGCCGCATCAATGCTTGAGCTTGAACCTGAGACTGTTTGCTGACTTCGTTTACCACTGGCGGCAAAGGTCTGGCATTTTGGGTGGAAGCCATGCGGCTGATGTTTCTTGGCACCTTGTTAGTTTCACAGCGTTCTGCTGCGCTGTAGTTGCGTTGCTCTCAACTTCGCTGCTTGAACGTTGGTTTGACGTTCTTCGCTTGTGTCGTGTACCGCTGGCCGCACAGGTTCGGCGTGGAAGCCACGCTTTCTGTATTGTGCTTTGGCTACTCTGTTTCGAGGTCCGCTGCATCGCTGCTGGGATCCACCTGATGGCCCTCCTGGGCTGGCCTGGGCCGTTTCTTGCAGCCGTCGAGCCGTCTGCACGGCTGGCGTTACAGGACCGCCATTGATGGTGGAAGCCACGCCAGCCCCCTTGGGCCGTCCTTGGCAGTCTGAGGCCACTTCCACCGCTGTTGTCCAAGGGACCGCATTTATGGTTGTCTTCTGACCGTGCGTGTTCGACCGTCTCCTTCGTCCCTCCTTCCGCCTTGTCTCCCCTCCCCCCTGCCTTCTTTTGCAACGCATGCGATTTCGATTCCGAGTGTGGCGCGCGGGAATCGATTCTGGTTCTGGTCGCGGGACAGGCGGAATTCCAATTCCAGTGCCAACCAATGTGCGCGGTTCTGGTTTACTACGATCCGATGTTCTACCAATTCGATTTCGATGTTTGATTCCATGGGAGGCGGTGGCGATGCCAGGAGGGCACTAAGATCATCTGCGAGAGCCCTCGGAGACTGTGGGGAAAGGCGTGGAACCTGCGAGATTATCTGGGGGAGCCGTGGACACTCTGGGCTTCA